TCGAAAACTCTCTAATAGACATGTATATGAAATGCGGATATGTTGAAGATGGCTGTCGAGTTTTTATAAACATGTTAGAAATGGATTATGTCTCTTGAAATGCCATGATCGTGTGGTATGCACAAAATGGTTATGGGACGGAAGCTCTTAAAATATTTAGAAAAATGTTGGCATCAGATGAGCAACCAAACCATGTCACTATGATTGGTGTTCTATACACTCGTAGCCATGCATGGTTGGTTGATGAAGGAAAAAAAGTATTTTTACTCTATGAGTGAGGAATATGGTTTGGTACCATTGAATGACCATTATACATGTATGGTTGATCTACTCAGTCAAGTTGGTTGCCTTAATGATGCCAACAATTTGATAGAAGGTATGCCAATTGAACCTTATGATGTTATATGGGGGTCTTAGCTTGCTGCTTGTAAAGTTCATCGTAACATTACCTTAGGGGAGTATGTGGCGGAGAAACTCTTAAATATTGAACTTAAGAACTTTGGACCATATGTTTTTCTCTCAAACATGTATACCGAGCTCAAGAGATGGGCTGATGTTGTACGAGTAAGGAAGCTGATGAGGCAATGAGGAGTTATCAAGCAACCAGGTTACAGGTGGATTGAAATACAGGGCCATGTGCATGTTTTCCTAGTGAAAGATAAACGGCATCCTCAAAGGAAACAAATACATTATGTTTTGAAGTTGCTCCTCGAACAAATGAAATGATCTGTTGAAACATAGGCTTGTGATCTTGAGTCCGATGAAAAACATGGTGAATCCCAACTAACCTCATTGTACCACATCGATATGTTGGAAGATGCAGCAGTTGGGTGATTTTCCTAGATAAAACTTGGTATTCTTGGAAACAAAAAAGAAAACAAAGCCCACATAGTAATGCATACTTTATTGTTATCATGCCTATGTTTCTTCATGTCAATTTACGGTGGACGATTATGCATTGGGTGCAAAGAGAGATTCTCTCCTGGTTTTACCAACCTATTATGGGTCTGCTTTGCGATTGGTTTGCAATATAATTCCTCAAAACAATCGACTTTTTGTGGTTGGTAAGTATGGAAAATGCTCCAAGTGATCGACTTTCTTGTTCTGGCATCCAATGTTTGATTGAGAAAGCATGGTAGATAGGGGCTTTGCAAGTTTAGGCAAAGAAGAGAAAGCATGGTCAAAATGTTAGAGTAACACAAGGACCTAGCTTCTCTGCCCTCCCACTTCCCACACACTCTCATCCCCTCCTATTTGTGCGATTACGGTTAAGTCACGTCAACATTTTATATTACCATTTATTTTTGTCTTATTATCTCTACAAAAAAAAAAAATCAATGTAAAATGTTGATGTGGCTTAACCATGACCGCACAAATAGGATGGGATGAGAGTGTATGGGAAGTGGGAGGGCAGAGAAGCTGGGTCCATTTATTTTTCGCCCGGCCTCTTGGTGCATCTCCAGTCGCTTCCAATACAAGACTTTTTTTCAATAAACAATAAAGTTAAAGGATTAAATTGTAAATGTAACGGTTGGAAAATTGGTGCTCGCACTAGAATGCAAAGAAGAAAAAGGAAAAATGAGTAATGTTATTCATATCATGTTTTTGTACCATATTTTCATATCATCTTAGGTGGCATTTGATGTGGACAGCCACATCATTTGAATTGATCAGATTTTTAAATTTAGTTCATTATTTAGTAAACTAATAATTGAGAAAAACTAGTTAATTAAATGATGATTGTGGTATACGAGGAGTCTTCTCCTTTCTTTCCTTGGGATTTGCAAATTTTTCAAATGATGTGACTATCCACATCAGATGCCACCTAAAATGGTATAGAATTGTGGTACAAAAATATGTACAACCCAAGTTGGTCCACCAACAAAAAAATCCCCCCGTGGTTTGACGATCTCAGATTTGACTTTGCAGAATTGTGTTACGGACCCGGCTTCTCTGCCCTCCTACTTCCCATATACTCTCATCCCCTCCTATTGTGTGCAGTCACAGTTAAGCCACATTAACATTTTATATTGATTTTTTTTATAGAGATAATAAGACAAAAAAAAATATTAATATAAAATATTGACGTAATTTAACCGTGACCGTACACATATGAGGAGATGAGAGTGTATGGGAAAGAAAAGGGCAGAGAAGCCAGATCCAAAATAAATAGCACGTCATAAGCCCGTAAAGGGCCCAACCACCATTACACAAATCTTCTCCAGCTCCTCAGAGAGTGGAGAAATATTTCGGGGTTCCGGGAACTCCACGTAAGTTGGTGTTCCAGCCAGTGGTTATTTGACATCTGGATTTTTCTTTTTATCTTATTCTAGCACACTCTTAAAGGCTGAAACGGTGCATCCAAGTCATCTTCTTCCACAAGCCGAAGGGGCATGGTCCAAAACCAGTCGGCGTTAACAAAGTGTTGAAACCTCTGCAGCTTCTCCTCCTCTCCATTTTTTTATTTTTCTCCAGGTCAGTTTCACTCTCTTTCTCCCATCTCCTTCTTTTTCCCTGTCTCTCTCTGTGTAACTTTATGGTGGTGTGATTTATTTTGTATAATCTTGACGATTGTTTAGAACTGTTTGAATTGTTTTACGATTAATCTTAATTTTGATCGTTAATTGAGATGTTTAGAGTTGAATTTCTCAAGTGTTTTGTATGCATTGAGTTCAATTACTACAACCTTTTGGAAATTGAAAGTTTTATCTCAATGGAATCATTTGAATGGAATGTTGGATTTTATGTTTCTTTTTCTGCTTGGCATGCGATTGCGGATTGATCAAATGGAATTTGATGAAGTTGTATTCAAGTATGGCAACGAGAGTGCACCGTGTGTCACTCCAACAGAGTGGTATTTTTTCCTTTGTGGTTGTGTGTATGGCATTTGTCCCTTTGGAGTGATGGATATTAATCGTACGGCTTTAGTCATGGGGATTGAGGACCAGTATGTTCTATGTGATATTATTATAGTATCTGTGATGGGGAAATGCATTTGGAGGGAAGGGGAGGTTCGGTTGTAGTCGAGGATATGAACATGGTTACTTGCATTGTTTTAGGTTATGTAAATTTTGGAATCAAAGGAAAACTAAAACGACGGGACACTACTAAAAGTATTAATAGATGCCATTTTCCCGTAACATAATCCACGACCAAGTCATGTCCTAGGTTTCAGGGCCGGACATAATATGTATCAGGTTGAACCTGTAGTGTTCTTGAGCTTTTGGTGAATATACTATGCTCTTATTAGCTTTGTGCTTGAGGCTATGTAATTTGCATTGGTTTTTTCCGGTGGTCATGGTCTTTACGTCTTCTGGATTTTATGATCTAGGATTGTATCATTTAAACACATTCCTCTTCTAATTTTCTTGTACATTTTCCTGTTAAAGTTAGTGTTTAGAAGCTCGATGTCACATCAGTCTTTGCTTTTATAGTAATTTTGATTTTGGTGTTTGCTTTATGCTGTAACAGATGGAGGGAAGTTTTGCACATGAGCTCTACTCAGAAAGTTTAAGCCTAGAAAAAATACAATTGGATCCTACACCCAGTGTGAACAGTATAGAAAGTGATCTACACGGTATTTTAATTGTTTAAAGCACCATTTTTTTCGTATAACAGTGATCCACATATAATATTTATTAATTTCATCTTATAGTCAGCCGTAGATAAGTAAATGCATTAGTGTATAACTGCTGTGGTTTTGCTGTTCTCTGTAGTAAGTAATCTTTTTAATGTTTTCTTGCAGGCCATGATAGGGTTGAGCCGTGTGATGAAGATGCATCTTGGTGTGCTTCTGACGATGAATTGCATGAACAATCTGCTTTGGGCAGGGAATGGCAGAGGAGACATAACCAATACCATACGGTTGTTTGATAGTTCAGACATACTTCGTCATTACGTAGGTTTAGTTAGTTGTTTTACTGTGCATAATTCAGGTAGTTCTCTAATATGTGCTTAATTTGTTGATAATATGTAGACTGGTTACCGTGATGGTGTAATAGCGGGAAAAGAAGCTTCTTCACAAGAGGGATTTAATATTGGCTTTAAGAAATCGGTCCTTGTTGGGTACAACTGGGGTCTTGTCAGAGGTGTTACTAGGTAATATAAAGAAGCAAATGTTATTTTGTTGTAGTAATGTCTCGCTTGCATAAATCTTTGTACTGTTTGGAATTTCTATATATCTTACTTTAGTTTTGTTTTCTTCTCTATCCATTCTGGCGTATCTTCCATCCGTAGTGCACTGGCTTGCCTTCCAGATGGTTTAAAGGAGAAGTTGATTGAAACACAAGAACAAATAAATGGATTTCAAAGATTGCTTGAATCTGTGCATTCTATTTCAACGAAAGATGCCCTCGGGTATTTGTACGATGATATGATTGCGAAAAAAGATAGAGAACAGAGTGAAATCTCTGATACTACTAATTCTCTTGAAGTTGGTTCGCCACAGAAAATATCACATGTTAGTGGCCTAGGCAATCACTTTGCACAACTCCAGTCACTTCTTGTCAAGTGTCCTGCAGTCAACGTACATCTACCATAGACGAGATTGTTGTTGTAATTTTGTGAGTAATTATTTGACATTTGTGAATTGAGTTCTGAGAATTATTTGCTAGAGTCCCATGTTATAGGAATTATACATTTTGACAAGTTTTTCCAATTGGGTTCATTATGTTTATATATGATATTCTAGGAAATCTTAATTATAATTGTTTTCGTTTTTTACAATGCAATGGTAAGACGTTGTGGATATAAGTATCATGTGAACAACTGTAAGTTATTGTAGCATGCATGAGCAACTTTTGTTTTCCCTGATACAAGTGATATTGGGAGAGAAGGAATTGAATACAGGAACTCGAGTGTGGAGCTAAATGCTCCTAACCGCTTGAGCTAGAAGCCCCAGTATGCATGCACGAGCAGCTTTAAATTAGTTGTACCTTTAGTGTTGCTAGAATGACGTTTTGGATGTGAGTATGGCAGTCAGTTGGCACTTGACATGCATATTAAGCAAACAACCATATATATTGTTTTGGAGGCCAGTGCCTAGTACAACAGCAAAGGAAAGATGGTAGCAACTCACACCATTTAACATTAAACTGTCATTACATATACTATTAATCAAAGTACACTATCTATATATCCGCTGAGCTTAGGAGAAACCACTCTCGAATCGTCACTACATGAAGTTGCCTCCTTCCTCTTCAGAAATTCTGACAGTAGCCAAGAAACGGTGAGTTTTGTTCTGCTGGAAATGTAGTTCTCCTATGTTCTTGTGTTTTTGCTTCAGTAACTTATTATCGATATTGCAGTCTTTTCACCTGCACAACAAGATGTGAATGGGTTCTATTTGTTATATGGTACTAACAATATGAGCTCACGAACAGCTATTGGAATTAACTATCTGAAGGATTGAAATGGGAATTATATATTTACCTTAGTAACTATCATCAGCTACAAGCTTGCATAGGTCTTGCGTGACTGAAGGCTGCTGAGGGATGCTTAAGATGTTTTTCCACTTTGGGCGCTGGCATGACCGCTTCGAAAGCTGCAACAAGCAGTGCAACCTTCTTCTTCCTTGCTGGAGCAAGTTTTGTGACAGCCTGCTGGAGTGCAAAGTCAAGCATCCATTCATCTGCATTTTTCTTTTCATCAATAATCTGATGCCTGAGGTCAACCTTTTCTGCTTCAGGGTCAGGAACCAAAGGTAGGTAATTCGGTTCTCTTGGATTGAACTTCCTTTGCTCCTCCTCATCAATGCTAAGTCTCTTGCATTTGATTCTTTTCCAGTGGTTGTAGGTGTTCGGAAGTTCTTGTTCGAAGTTGCTTGCTGCCTTGGAAAATTTTCTCTTCATCCCAGGGCTAATGCTATTATTGGCCGTGTTGAAATTTTTTGTGGCTTCTGGCTCTGAATTGTATTTCACTTCCACATTATGAGGTTGTCCTGTGTTGCTATTGGAGATACCTGATTTTTTCAGCCTTAAATCGCTCTGATCCTCAGATTCATTGGAACTTGAAGTTATAGGCTTCTTGTACTTCCCGTTGGACAGGTTACCATCTTCAGCAATGTCATTAACCTGGAGAGGTTCAGTCTTCTTGTAATTGTCATAATCGTCAACCTTGACCTCATCTTCATCAGCTTCAGATGCATCGTGCACCGAATCAGAAACCTGAATCTCAGGTGATGGCTTCACATCACCAATTTGCTCTACTGCTTCCATTTGATTTTCAGAAACCACTGTAGGGAGTTTGGGTTCTGAGCCAAGGTCACCACTTGGAACGCCTTGATCTGTTTCTGAATTCCCTTTATCAGGGCTCCCGTTGCATCCTTCATTTGCTTCAGCATCATCTGTTTCGCTCATATCCTGAGAGGGAATAGAAATTTGGTCTCCTGTCACTGTACTTGTTTCATCCTCATGAAATGCATTCTCTGGTTGGTTATCTGAAGCTTTGCCTGTCTCCACAATGCTGCAGTTGCTTTCAACATCTCCAAGATGAGAATCGATTTCATGATCCTCTGCTTCAGCAACTCCATTCTGCTCTTGAAGTTCCTTGCCAGTTGTTGGTAGTTCCTCATTTGGCTCCTCCATTGAAGATGAAGATATCTCTACACAGTCTGTCTCTGATAGTTCACTGCCTTCTTCGAATGCATCATCGCTGTAGGAAAGTTGGTCATAACTCATTCTTTCGTGCATGTGTCTAGATTCTAGAATCTCAAAATTCTTTTTTATGCCATCCTGTTCACTGACATCACCATCTTTCTGCAGTACTACATAAAAATCCTGAACCAAATTATCGTAGTCACCATTCATTGCATCAGACTTGATCAGAGATTCTTCATGCATATCAGCGTCTTGAATTGTTATTGAACACCCCGCATTTGGACCAGATTCATAACCATCAAGCACTGCAGTGGAAAATTGCCCTTCCTCCCACTCCATGTCAGTAGTTTCAGAACTGGAATAATCCATTTCAGTGCTTGAAAGGTCTTCAGAGTTGCTCTCGTTCGAGCAGCTTCCAGTGGAATTTTCCTCTTGATCGGACAGTGATCCGTAGTCTTCATTTGCATCTTCTTTTCGATCTTCAGGAAATTCGCCAAAGTTTTCTGCCTCAGATTCACTCTCAGAATGCAGTGATCTATCCGACAGGTTCTCCACAACTAGGTTGTTGGCAGAATCTACTGTTTCTGTTTCATCACTTGCAGCATTTGGAAACACAGGACCCTCGTAACCATCTTGTTCTCCTACAGAATCAGCTCCGGCTTTCCTTCCAATTGCCTCAGTGTCATCTTCGTTGTTTGTAGCATAGATTTCAACGAAGAAATCCAAATCAGCTTCTTTCTCAGCTGTTTTGTCATTCTCATCAAACATCTGCTGGAAATCAATTTCTTTTACTCCATCATTATATCGCTTTGCTCCACGCGGACTTAGAGCTTGCAATTTCATCATCTTCTGGGTCTTCAATGAACGTCTTCTTGCAGACAAGAAACTCTTCAATGGCGGCACAGGTGAATGACGATGTCCATTAAGGGAACAGTACGTATACGGGCAAACCTTCATGACTGAAGTTCCCTCAGCTTCAGTTCCCCCAGGACTAATCATCAGATAATCCGGAAACTTTGTATCCTTCAGTGTTGAAGAACAAGTTTCTCTCTGAACATTAACATCTGCACAAAGAGCAACCCTGGAAGATTTTCTCGCCGGAGCTCTTGCTGACTTAAAACTAGGGGACCTTATTAAAGTCCTCACAAGCTTCAAACTAGATGTCCTTGCTAAACTTCTTTCAGGTTTACTAGAAGCAGAGCTAAGCTTTGAACTGCCCAAATTTTTTCGGTTCTGGTTCTTACTATCCGAAAATATTGGCGGAGAACTTCGAAGACTAACCTGTGACTGCTCCTTCCTTGCATGAGAACAGCTGGTGGGCTTCATGTAGTTTGGCGAGCCATAAGTTGTTTTGGCCAGGGGCTGCTTCTGAGGGGAAGCCGCAGTGTTTGGAACATTGAGAGCCGGTGGTGGCGGCTTTCCTGGCTGAGATGAGTTCTTCCTCAAAGGTGATGATCTCAAGCTCTCAACATCTGAAAGCTTGATTGATCTAGATTTCTTCATCTTCTTCTTCAAATCAGCTCCTCTGTGTTTCCCATCTTGGAACTGAGAAGAAGTCTTCAGGTTCGAAAACCGCTTCTCGAATTTATCATGATCAGCTTGGATTCCAAGCTTGTTTGGCACCTTTCTTTGGACCATATTGAAAGGAAAACCAGAAGCAAAGACAACATCCAAGTTGGACTATGTCTTCCCCTTGAGGTGGGGAATTCAAAGCTCATAGAGGAAAGCAATTCCCTCTTGTCCCATGCTTTGTTTTTGGATGGAAAGATTGCATCGGATTGGAAAGGAAAGGAAAGGAAAGCAAAGGAGAGGAATGGGATTCTTGAAAGCCAAAGAAGCAGAGATTCCTTGGGAGTTCTTAGTTTTGGTTTTCTGCTTGTTTGGCAGATGATGAATATTTCGAATAAGGCTGAGACGAGTCTGACGCTGACATGCACCCACAGGTACCTTTTGGGTCCTATTTTTCTGCCTTTTTTATTTTTTATTTTTTTTATGAATTGTTTTCTTTTGTTTTTGCGTGCTAAGTTATTGGCCTTTTTTGAATTGAATTATGAAGCTTATGACATGAGAAGTCTACATATGGCACTCAATTGTTTATTTAGATCACATATTTTGCTTTTCTGACATAAATACCCTCCGTTCTTGTAATTTCTTTGGATGGGAAGAACAACAAGATTCATGATCACCGGCTATTAGGTTTGATATCAATAGTTGAGATTAACGCACCTAAAATATTTTTATTTATTCTCCACTCTTGATATTATATTCAATACTGAAGACCATATATTCATTGATCGCCGGTTGGTCAAGAGAACGTTTGTGACACTAGACATGCTATATACCTACTTTCTCTTTCACGTATTGCATGGGCGTGACGGGTGAGCAACTATCTTTTCAATTAGTTGGCTAGATGGTCAGTAGGATCGAATATTTATTGCACCATTCCGATTTTAACGAGGTAGAAGAGCCACCTACCAAATGATAAATTTTTCAGTATGCTGGAAACACGGTTCAACCCCAAGTGTTATAATACAAATAGTTAGATATTTGAAAAATATTTGTTTAACTTGAAACTAAATGGTAGATTACCTTGACGATTAAGACTTTTTTTTTTAACTCAGTACGTTTCAGGTCCAAACCTTCCTCTTTTCTCCTTATTACAAATTAAACTAGTTACATCACTTGTATTAAACGAAGAGAATACCAAAGGAGTAGATAAAAATGAAAGGTGGAGAAGGGTATCACGGAAATTTCACTCGGAGCATAATTTTCTTGTATTTTGGTTTTGGTCGGACACTGTTGACTTGAAATGCAGAAAACGGGTGGTTGGACGGCCGCTTTGCGAAAAGATAAGAGCCACTGTCGGCGGTAGTGGGCCCCACTAGTATGACGTAAAATGCCCGTTTACAAAACAGACGCTCCTCCTCCGTCTGAACTCCCAACGTTGTGACGTACAGAATGTGGGATGGGCCCACTTGAGTGGGCAGTTGATAATTTATGTTGATTTTTCAGAAGCCCATGAATGTGTTTTCTTCTTTTTCTTTTTCTTTTACGATTTTTATCTGCCGAATTGTGAATAAAAGGTCACTTTGCGAAAGGTGCCGTCAATAGAAAGCAAAGGCCAAAACTATTTTGTGCCCATTTTATTTTTGCAATTTTAAGTAATTAGTTTATAAAAATAGGATTTTGTTTTTTTTTTGAAAAATTGTTTTAAGAAATAATGAGTACATAATGAATAGAGAAAATTGTAATAATAACCCTTCAACTCTCCTAATTGGAGATTTGGTCTGTTGACTAAAAATCTTGTCATTTTCGTCAATCTTGTTAAAACTTCTGACAAAATGGTTATGGTTGAGGGACCTTGCTTTAATTGAGTTAAAGTTGAAGGATTATTGTTCCAATTAGATTAAAGTTGATGGACCATTTCTCTAATTAGATTAAAATTGATGTTTAAGAAGCCCATGAATGTGTCTTTTCCTGTTTGATGACTTTATCTGCTTAATTGTGAATAAAAGGTCAATTTTTGTGATGGAACAAGGCTATTTAGTATTTACACCATAAGGATTAGGAAAGGTGCCGTGAATAGGAAGCAAAGGGAAAAATTATTATTCATTTCTGCAATCTTAAGTAATTAGTTTATAAAAATAGGATTTTTTTTTTTTAAAATTTTTAAGAATCAAGAGTATATAAGGCTATTTCCAACTCAATGCGCTACAATTTCAGAATTTAACCCCATATTTTTGTCTATTCACTATACGAATGAGGTTAGGCAATTTTTTTCTCCAACAGGAAAGGACCTAGAATTTCCACTGCCAACTTTATAATTTGTTAAACTTTTTTATGTCTCATTGATTTTATTTTTGCTAATAATTTTGGAATTAGATTTTGCATAATCTATCTTGTTTTATTTTTACGAACATTTTGGTGTATAAAATTCAAATTCCGAACAAACAAAAAAAACTTGGTGAGAAAAATGAATTTTTTTTTATGGATTTGTGAACAAATGGATGTTTATTTATAAAGGTTTGGTGTCGGATCTAATTTGAATTAATTAATATTATTATTTTGACTGTTGGATTTAAATTTGAGCCGTTGAATATTTTATATTACCGTTAAAGTAGATTAAATCGAATTTGAATCATTGAATTTAAAAATGATGCAACTAGACGCACCACACTAGATCAAAATCCAGGAGGTGCAACAATCATTAGATGTCAACGACATGCCAATCTAGGCATTAGAAACCGTGTTGCTAGTACACTCGTTTGCAGTCAATCCCCCCCCTCGGGGCGGCACCACCCCCCACCCCCCATCCCCATCCCCATCCCCATCCCCTCCCCCTCCCCCAAAAAAAAACAAGTCAGTTGACTGGTGCCGCCCCGCATGGAATTGTCTCCACATAGGCTGCCCTGCTGTTCCTGGTCTCACGTGGGTCCCCCGGCCCACCTGCAATCGGGGTGGGTAGCAATCCCAAATTCCCACTCCCAAACCTAAAATCCCAAAATTCCCACCTCCAAAATATCACCCCGACGTTTTGGGCCCACTCCAAAATACACACACACCCCCACCCCACTCTCCAAAAAAAAAAAAAAAAAAAAAACCTTTGAAAGGCTCATTTAACATTTTCATGTTACTCATGCTACGTGTATTAACGCAAACTAAAAATTTATTTAGTTTTTGTTGAAAAAAACAAATCATACCAACAAAGGATAAAATGTGGCGAGAATTTAATATAAATTAAAATTTTAGTTTTTGAGTGTTAGGGAACAGATTTTGCCCGCCAAGGAACATTATGTTGTTTGAACTCAATTACTTTGTTAGATCGGGATCGATAGTTGTAGAAGTCAATTAAGCAGTTGGCCTTACACTAATACCCTCTCTGCAGTGTCTAACAGCACTTTCTCAGATAAAAATAAAGTCTTCATCGGCAGTCCATTTTCAATATGAATTGGGTTTGAGTTGTCTGCTTTTTAATCCTTATCAGCTCATCAAATCTTTCATAAGTAGCTCTACTTTATTTTGTAAACTAAGATATATTAGAGAGGTCGAACAAAAACCCTCGACCTCGTAAACACTCTTACCCATTTGAGCTACAAGTTCCTCGCTGATAGTTCCTACTTTCTAAAACCAATGCAGACGATAAAAATTGGCAACCGTCTTAAAAGGACAAACAATTCAGGAATGAAGAAAAAGTTCATTCAAATTGCAGCAAACTTAATGTTCAGAAACAAAAGTAATACCTTAAATCGGTAGAGAATCTTTATAACTCCCTGAAGTTGACTTGCATTTGCTACCCACAATTTCGGGAGTTTTTCGAAATAAGTTCCTGACAGATTCGGTTAGTTGGAACCTCAATCAGCTTCTTTCAGAACTCCACTCCGACGATCCCATTCCAGGTCACCCATTTCTACAGTGACTGAATCCTCATTATTAATGTAATCTAACAATTTCTCCTGAATACTTATGGGGAAACTGCACTTCTCCCCGAGTAGTCTTATAAATTCTTCAGCTCCTTTCACATCAGCTTTCTGTTTCATATATTCCATACAGGCGGCGACAACATGCCCATCTGGTGTCCACCGTGACCCCTCAACTGAAAGTGCTTTCCTCGTCAACTCAACTGTCTTCTCAATTTGATCATGATCAAGATATCCCCTTGCCAAATAATACCAAGACCTTGCATCCGGTTTCTCTCCCCTTTGTATTACCCTGTTAACAATGGATTCGGCCTTGTCAACTAGAGCCTTGTCAACTAGGCCCTTTCTGCTATAAGCACCAATCAAGAAATTTGGGATACAAATGTCGAAAGATAAATTGCTGGATTCCCATTCGTCATAGATCTTCTCGGCACTTTCAATATCGCCAATCTTCAACACAGAGGTCATTATACTTATATAACCCCTATTGTATATTTTCATGTGCTTCTTGTATAGTTCCCAGAGTCTCATAACCCTATCTTTCTGCCCTAGTGCTGCATATTGTGTCATAAGGTACTCATATGCTCCCCTCTTTCTTTTAGAACTTGACAATAGTTTCTCAGACCTCTCTAGCATTGCCAAAGCCTTTTCCACATTTCCTGCTTTCTTATAAGAAATTGCTGCGTTGGAATAACTATCCCAATCCATACAAACCTCAGGATCGGATTCCCACTCTGCCATAACCTTGTCAATTCCCTCAAGATCAGAAGCAGCTGCATATGCAGAGATGTGGATACAATATGTGAACTTGTCATGAACAATGCCCTTCTCTTTCATTTCACTCATTAGAACATTGAATTTGTCAATGTTTCCAGTCTGATAATACAAATTGAGCAAATTGTTGTAGGACAACGATGTCCTAGCAAACCCCAATTCCCTCATCTTCTGCATAATGTCCTCGGCCTTTTCCACAAGTTTTGCACGGGCATAGCTGTTCAGGAGAGCACAGTAAACCTCGAGAACTTTCAAATTTTTTGGAATGTTGTTAAAGTAATCCTCAGCTTGTTCTATTCCGTGAACTTTTGCAATCAAATCGAGCCGGATGGCAACATCAGCAATTGTAAGCTCAAAGTACCTTTTGTCAGACAACCACATTGATATCTGAGAATAAATAAACGAGATCAAATTTCCGAAGATGGGTTGATACTTGCTAACTCACTAGACTAGACACTTATTTTGAATATTAAAGCATTGTTATGAGAATTGGGATCTAAACTAATATTAAGAAGATGGGTTGATGCTAACTCACAAGGCTAGACAATCTTTCTCCAGAAATCCAAATATCAAGTAGATGCAACAGATGAAAGATTTGCTACTTGGGTGACTTATTTGACTATTAAAGCATCGTTATCACAATTGGCATCTAAACTACTGTTAAAGCACTCCCATTTATTCAGTTCAGAAGCTATGACTCCAATACAAACGTGCACACACACAGAATTTTTTTACGTTGCAGTTAACTGCATTTTCTTTAAATGCAGACATGCCGTCGATATTATTGAAATTGTCAATACTGCAAACTTAAAAT